TTTTTAAACAATGGGTGGCCAAAGAGAAGTCATTAATATTAGCAGACAATGACAGAAAACTACAGAACTCCAAATATAGAAAGGCTGTTCATGTACCCTAACACCATAACCATTATGGTTAAAAACCACACAATATTCTTTCTCACACACTTTGTTAATGAGCCAAGAATGAGGGTCTGTTAAGTATCCCAGACAACTGAAATAGAAGTAGGAATCTCTGATAAAGGCTGTTCACCCCAACAAACTGAGAGTAAACAGGTTTGGAAAGGATACTATTCTTAAATAAATTCTTTTTAGTTTTACATTCATGAAAGCAGAACTATCACTTGACTTTTTCTCTCCTTATCCATTAAAAAAAACAACAGAAAAGAAAAAAACATAGGTTACTTAAGATCCTAGTTTTAGGAATTATAAGAAAATGTTTTGTAAGATTAACAAAATATTTAATTCATCTTTCAGGTAGACCCTCAAGTATTTTAAGACTGGAAACCAATATGAAAAAAGGATGGTTATGATATACAGCAACATAGTATTCAACTATAATCTAACAGCTTATGACAATTTGGCAAGCATTCTACTCTGAGCTAGGGTCTTCCCATGTACAACAGGGAATTCTCCCAGGAAATGCCCCTACAGAGGGCCCTACACTTCTTTGCATACTATCAGGCCACACATGTAGAATGAAATGAATGCAGTGTTCTCAATGGAAAATATAAATACAAATTAATTCTAAAATACCAACTTACCACATAAAATTTTCCAAAAGAGCAAAAGGAAGGAGTATCTAGTTATCATTTCATTCATTCTAACCATTTTCATAAATTACTTAATTTTTTAAAACTAATTTTTTTATTCTTGTATTATTTATTATTATTTTCCACAGGAACAACTGTAGGCCTTTTTTTTTCATGTTATTTATTTTTAGAGAGGAAGGGAAGGAGAAAGAGGGAGAGAAACATCAATGTGTGGTTGCCTCTCACATGCCCCCTACTGGGAACCTGGCCCATAACCTGAGCATATGCCCTGACTGGGAATCAAACTGGCAACCCTATTAGTTTTGGAATTTTGAAATAAATTTAAAAATTTATTAAAGAGTGCTTATATTGAGGGACTGAATGAGTATCATGTTAAATGAATTATATTTAAGGGTTACATGTATGTTCTTTTTTCCTGTAAGGCCTTTGTTTAAAAGAAAAAGTTATTTCTTGTCTCCTTTTCAGTTTTCCCCCACGGTGTTCCGTCATTATTAGATAAATTCTTTAAAAAAAAATCAAAATAATCTTCCACATTTTTATAAGTCCCACTGCCAATTATGAATAGCAAACATTAGGGAAAAAGGTTTTTTTTTCTTTAATATTTTTAAAATTTACTTACGTACTTATTATTTTTAGAGAGACGAGAGGGGAAGGAGAAAAAGAGGCAGAGAAACATCAATGTGTGAGAGAAACACTGACTGGTTGCCTCTTGCAAGTGCTCCAACAGGGGAACAGCCCACCAGTAACCTTTTGTTTTGCAGGGTGATGCCCAGACCTCTGAGCAACACCAGTCAGGGCAAAGAAAAAGTTTTAATAGCCACTCCAGAACAGCACAAACTAAAATTTAAGGGACAACCAAGTAAAAATGAACAAACAAACAAACCCTTTTCCATGTTCAAAATGCATGCCTTCCCAGAGGAGTATTTTGACATTTTTTTCCAAGACAAAAATCTACAAGCGAGGAAATTCATTAAAAATTTATATAACAATAAAAGCATTTCCTAAAGTGATTAAACATTTAAATACTCAACTGAGAACCTAATGACATTATATTTTTTAGTATTTTAAACCCACTTTTATTAACTTCATTCAAATCTAGCTTCCATACATAAAATTTTTATCCGTTTGAAACTTGTTCTCAAATGACTTTTCTTGACTTCTATTATTAAAGAAGGCAGAGCCCTAAAACAACTATTTAAACATGAATTTAAAAGTACAACTAAGAGCCTTGGCCAGTGTGGCTCAGCTGGCTGGAGCCCTGTGCTGTGTACTGAAAGGTCCTGGGTTCAATTCCTGGTCAGGGCAGATACCTGGGTTGTAGGTTCACTCCCCAATTGGGGCCCTTAGAGGAGGCAATCTATGTTTTTATCATGCACACCTTCTCCTCTCTCTGAATGTCTCCTCAGGAGAGGATTTTTAAAAAAAGGACAAAATACAACTAAGAAAAAAACACATTCTATTCACTTTTGCAAGACTGTATAAGACAATTACCAAACCCGTCAAATCAAATTGCATATCAATCATTTAAGGTAAATGTTTTTCTTCCATTGGTAGGTAAGTACAATTCCATTAATTCTAAACAGTATTCTGACTTGACTTTAAAATACAGACTAGAATAGTACGGTCCTAAAAAAAACAGCTGCTCAGGAGAAGTAAAATCTCAATGAACATTTCTGCTTCTCAAATCCTTACTTATTTGGAACTAAAACATAACTCTTAGTCCAGCTGTAATTAAACCATAAAAAATAGGGTTTCAAGAGAAGTTCTCCTAAGGAGTCATAAATACATATGCTAACTATTAATTATTACTATTTAAAAACCAATTGTATCCTGACCAGTGTGGCTCGGTTGGTTGGGTGTCATCCCACAAAGCAAAGGTTGCCTGTTAGATTCATAGTCACGGCACGTGCCTGGGTTGTGGGTTCAGTTCTGGTCTGGGCGTGTGAGAGAGGGAGGCAACCCATCGATGTTTTTCTTCCTCCCTTTCTCCCTCCCATCCCGTCTCTCTAAAAATAAATAAAATCTTAAAAAAAAAACCAATTGTGCCAGTTTTGGTGAAATCCAAGTTCACACAGTACTGTCAGTAGTTTGTATAGGATACCCTTAAAAATCACTTAAGAGGTTTCATGCAAAAGGGAAAAATACACATATAACTTTTGATGAGGAATGATTCATCAACAATTATATAGTATTTGTATTCAAAGTCTTTAATGTAATAAATTTAAGAGGATTCCTGAGAATCTCCATACAAAAGAAAAACTTAGAAAAGAATTAGAGCGCCAAGATCCAATACTGATTTCATAGACACATTTACACAGAATATTTACATGTAAAATTTTTTAAACCAAAAAACATCTGGCAAGTTACTGACTTAAAACTTAGTTGCACATTTCCCCCAACACCTAGTTTCAATTTCATATGCAGCATAACAACTGCATATAAGTTTCAGGAAGAATGAAAATTTTGTTTTTGATTATTACAACCTTGAGGCAAAATCAGGCCTTATCTTCTTTAGAGATTATAGTCAATCAAGCATAAACTTTGTGTTTCAAGATGTCCAATTCTTAGCTCAAGAATTCGCAGCAGCATTTACTGAATCACACTTGGTTAGTTGGACCAGTTGACTAGGTGGTTTGACTTCAGAAAAATTTTCTAAGATGTCAGTATATTAGGCATAATTTCATATTTTAAAAAACCCAAAGAAGAAAAAATGTCTCTGAAAAAATGTTTGAAATATCTTTAAAAGTTTTAGAATGATTAACAAAGTTTAACTTTCATGTTTTGTTTCCCAGGCTTAACAACAGGATAGTTACGTAAAATTCACCTATAGCCACAAATCATCACATTCCCTAAATAGTATAGTAGAAAGCTAAAAAAAACAAAGGCAGGACACAGTTTTGGAAAAACACCAATCAATGATAAACAGATGATAGTCTAAAACTTTCACAATCTAGATAAACTTTCCCTTTTTAAGAAGATATTAAGTAGAAAAAAAAATGGAGCATGAAAAAGAGAAATGGTACAAGTTGATTAGAGAAAATTCCAAATATTGACTTGTAATAAACTCCCCGTCCCACATCTACAATTGGAATGCTTTGACACAGATGTATTTGACAATTACTCTTTAACCTAATCAATAAATTCATTATTATCATTATGTCACCAGTTTCTTTTATATAAGCTCTTCTTATCTCATATTCAGTTACCTCCCAAATTGACAAATTGAGATGTGAAACCCAGGGCTTACCCTCTTCCCCAATATTTTGAAAATTTGTTTATATATTTTGACAGTCTGGATGAAGCAAACTTTCAAATTTAACATACGAAGTATGAGTGGAAAGCAAACCATTATGTAACATCTACTTTATGTCCCTCAATTAATTAGTTTAGAACCATAGAGAGTGCTTTTTTCTTCTAAGTACTGCCCAAGTTGCAATTTTTTTTCTCAACACTACCGTTTTTCTCAGGATTACCGTCTTTCCCAAGAACAGAAAGCGGTTTTCTTAAATTCCAAATTTCCAGGAATATGACAACGCTTCTCTAGGGATCAGAGAATGAAAAATACAATACTGTCAGCAATTTTAGGATCCACCTCCTCACATAAGCAGTGATCCAGCCTGATAGGAAGGACATTTTCAAGAGCCTCAGAAACTACATGGTGGAGCAAAAGTAGATTTACAGTGGTGAGTACACGAAATATAGTTTATCCTTGTATTACTCATTATCGTACTATTTTCCATACCAACAACTGTAAACCTACTTTTGCCACACCCTGTATACCCTACGCTCCCACAAACATCAGAAGAGAACTCGGGGATGACGTTGCACTAAAACCAAGCTTAATTCTCATCTGTTATCTCACTCTATCTTCACAACTACCTTAAGAGGTAAGGAATGGAGAGGACTGGCCGCTCCAGCGCCTCTACGGGACACACAACCGGGTTAAAGGATACGCACACCGTTACACCTCCAACCGGAATAACAAAAGCGATGGCTCCAGAAAGAGTAATATCGCCTAGAGAGCCCCAAACTTCAATCCTTTAAGCACTGTCCCCTCCCCCGCAGTTTCGCCTACTCAGTGGCTTCGGGAAACTGCAGCGGGGCTGCGCGAAGACGGAGGAGGAGCCGGCAGAGAGGAGAGCCGCCTGGACCGCGCTCACCTCGCACACCGGCGCCGGGGCTGAGGGAGCGACGATGATTTGGCGACACTCCTACTAACCCGGCCAACAGCTCTGATACACTCACCTGCGGAGCCGATTTCCATTCATGGAGCTGGGGGGTGTGCTTCGAGCGAGAAAGGCGCCCGCGACTGGGGGCAAGGAGGCGGCGCAGGGGGCGACGCGGTGCGACAGGCACTCTCACTTGGCCGCAAGGCGAGGTGGCGACAGCTTCTTTTCAGCGCCCGCACTCCGAAAGCTTTAGTTAGCAGGAGCCGCCGGCAGTATACGACTAGGCGAGAGGAAGAAGCGTGAGGGAAGGAGAGGTGAGCTCGGTGCGGAACTTGCGTCGCCAGCGGGCGCTTACACTGCCCCTTCAGGACTGCGGCTCCGCCGCCGACCTCCCCGGGGGCCGCCCCCGGAAGCCCGCTGGCGTCAGTTCCGCTGCCCCATCTCGCCCGACGTCCGTGCGAACGACGCAGGAGTGTCGGGAAGCGGGCGCCGAGCCTGGGCGGAGCCTGAGGCTTGTGCGGCAGGGTGCGGGCGGTGCCCGCCCTCCCACGGTCCTCCGCTGGGTCGCGCCGGCCCGAGACGACCCGGAGGGGCTGGACTCCTCGCACCATCCTGCTGCGAAGCCGTGCCTGCGTGAGGTGACGTCGCGGAGGGCGGTGTAGCTTATCCGGGGAAGAGCCTACCTGGAGCGGGGTTTATCGAGGTGCAGGGCCCTGACCTGCCGCTGAGAGGGCCGCCCTCGTCCCCGAGCCCTTCCCTCCACGCCCAGTTTGGACGGCCCCACGCCCTTCCTCCTCAACAGATCACGTAACCGCCACAGCTGATCAACTCCATAGGGTTGCTTTGACGACCATTATTTGGGGGTGGAGGGGGGCGGGGAATGTGCAATTTAACTTGGGAAAAGATGAAAAAACAGGACATTCAGCAAATATCAGATCGAATAATTTCCACGTTTAAAATTCTTTAATAGCGCTCCTTCCCACTGAGAAGACCGTAACTCCTTTCCGGGGCCAGAACGCTGGGCGTACCGGGGACCCCATCTTTAGCAAGACTCGTTAGCACTTCAGTTATGCTGTACCGCTTCACTCCCCTAACCGGCAAAGCACTGCTTTCCAGCTTGGGGCCTGCTTTTGGTTGCCTTAGCCAGGAATCCTCTCTTCTCTCCACTCGCCTTTTTATACCTCAAGACTTACCCGAGGGCTTTCCCGGTAGGATGGGGACTTTTTTTATTACAGCATTTTCCCTTACTAATCCTGTCCCAATCTCTAATTTGCTTTTACTAAGTTTATTGTGTGCTCACTCCCTCTCCCACTAGAATGTAAACTTTTTAAGATTACAGGACCAGCGCATGAACTGGCAAGTAGTAGGTCCTTATTTGTTGACCTTACTGGTGATACTTATTCAGGCTCAGGAATGGTTCACTTTTCCCTGTCTCTAAACATTAATAATGGTTAGACTTTTAAAAATCAAAGTATGTTCTTTTTTTAAAAGCTTGGAGCAAAGAAGGAAAAAAAGTATCCTAAATATGTTCCCCCACCAATCATTGTGGAACTTTGGACTGGTCACTTGAGCCTCTGGGCTTCATTCTCATCAATAAAATGGAGAATAAAATGTACCTTACAGTTGTGAGGCTAAGGAATGTACATAAAGCACAAAGAAAACCCTAAATGTTAGTGAATTTAAAGGTTTTGGTTACTATTTTATTATTCAAGATGGTTACTATTATGTTACCATTTTAAAGCACTTAATTGATGCACCTACCTGTAAACACTTCGTAAACTGAATTCAAACCCGTATCTGATTCCAATTCTTTCTCATTTCTTCCTTCCCGTCCTTACAACTGTTAGTGAAAATGCCCTCTCCAATTAAAAAATATCAAAATGTCACCAGATAAAACACAGTATCTTCAAAATTATTTTCAAGCCTTGTCTATAGGAGCATCTAACAGGGTAAATACCAGCTGTTGTGCAACCTTCAACCCCTGGTTCTGGAACTGTTTCCTCAATGATTGCAGGCTTCTTCTTTGTCTCCCAGAGTAGACATGGTGACGGTGATGAACCCTAGAGGTGGACCACTGTCTTCTTTGTTGACATTGATGAAGCAGGATTTGGACCTTCTAATTAGATCCAAATTAACAAATGCCAATGATGTCTTCCCTTCTACTTCTGCTGTGACCTCCACCTCTTTCAAGTGTGCCCATATAAATATCATGAACTGTAGTACCAGAAAGTGGGAAAGCAAAAAAAATTTGAATGATTCTGCCAGAAACAAAAGGTGTATGAGGCTTGCCCCTGACTAAATAAATGCACACCCTAGTTTTGGATAACCTCATTCTCAAAGGAGTTTGCTCTTAAGGGCAAACAGGAGGCTCTCTGTGTATCTTGTTAACTGTCACAGCCCCAGTGCCTAGAACAGTGCCAATACCTGGCACATAGCAGCATTCCATAAATAATTGTGGAGTAGTAGATGAGTGGGCTTCCAGAAAAATAGTAAAAAATAGTACAGAAATCACAGGAGCAAGGAAATCAATGCACACTGAATGTTGCATTCCTAGGCTTCCTGTGCAAAACACACACCACTGGATGAGGAGAGCATCTGGATTGAATTCTCTCCTCTCACATAGGCTGAAGTTAGTTGCGATGAGTTCAAATCTCTTCTCCGAGACCGTAAGTTTTTAGACAGCAGAAAGCAAGCTATAGTTTACCCCTTAATAACATGGGCAGCAACCCCCAGGTTAAAAAGTCAAAAGCCTGGATATTAACTTTTATGTTGAATATGACCAACTTAACTGTGGTCATCTTTGGGGACCTGTTTTTAGGACCCCCTGTGGATACCAAAATCCAAGGATGCTCAAGTCCATTATATAAAAATGGTGTAGAACAATGTGTACAGTTGGCCTTCTACATCTACAGAATCCCAGTGGGGGATTGACAATACAGTAGTTTTTCAACTGCACTTGGTTGAATCTGCAGATGTAAAACCTGGGACTACAAAGGGCTGTGTATTTACTGAAAAAAATCCATATATAAGGGAACCTGTGCTGTTTAAGCCTGTGTTGTTCAAGGGTCAACTGTACTTTGTATTACAGCAGGACACAATATGAAACATCCTGGCTTTAGGGACAGAGCTAAGACTAAAGGCTCTAAGCTACTATCTGTGATCCTAGAAGTCACTCCCTCTTAGCCTCACATTCCTCATCTGTAAACACCAAAGGACCTACATAGAGCAGACACTGCTAGATACCTACCCAAGCCTTTATCTCCTTCTCTCTTGCCTAACAGACATGACTTGTCTTTCTAATCCATTGATTTAGAGGGTAACTCAATTAATTTCAGCCATGCTGGATGGATGATCTCATTAGCTCTGTCAATGACAGGAAGGGGAAGATGGCCCATTTCTAGCAAATGAAACATGAGGCCAGATCTGCTGGGGTTTTCAGGGCTGTTCTCACTTTAAATGACACATTGGAAAAAATTAGTCCTCCTTCTGCTAGACATTGTTCTGTCAGCATTTCCTTCCCGGAGTTACAGTAGCCATCTTGGGACCCCGAGGTGAACTAGCATGAGGATAACCAACACAGGATAGAAGAGCAAAAAGATTGCAAGAACCTGGTTGTCAGTATTATCATCAAGCCGTCATATTAAATCAGGACTTCCTGTAATGTGAAAGTTTCCTTATTTAAGCCAACTTAATTGGAGTTTTGTTATATGCAATTGAAGTTAACTGATAAACTTCTTCACGTGAAAGCTGTGAAGATGCAAATAAGGTAAATAGACACTGTACAAAACACCTAGTCAAGTACTTGCTACAAATATATGTTGCCAATTAACAGAGCAGAGGGAACACTGCTCAACCAACAATGAAAAAGGATGTGTGGGGGTGCTAGGACAAGCCTTAACTAAAAATCTTGAGCTCCAGAACCAGACAAATCAGGCCTTGGGCTCCCACCATATTTTTCTCTTTATTAGTGATCAACAGCCGTTTAATCCTGATTTTTTTGGTAACATCAATCATTTCTAAAAACAAATTTATGGCAAAAAAAAAAAATGCCATAATGATCATCTTCCCACTTGCTCTGCTAAATACTTCTGTTTCATTAAGGGTCATAAATTTAAGCTTTATTTCAACTGGGAAAAATCTCGGTGTTCCAATCTGCTCAGTTCAAGCAACCTCACTAAACTCTGCTGCTGAAAATAAGCATGGGTCTGGCTGACTTGCTCCCAAGGGAATCTGGCAGGTGGTGTCCACAGGTCACTTCTGCAATTGGGAAAGTCACAACATGTGGCCTCCCAAGGAATGCTAGGCCCACTTATGCACATACTAGCTGCTAATGAAAATTTCTCCCTGGGTTCTATGCCAGAATGCTCTAAGTCATCTCCCCACAGAGTAACAGTGTTCTAGCAGTACCAGGGAGAAACACCAGAGCTTACATGCTTGACATTTGTGCCATCAGCTGAAGGTACAATACAAAACCAAAGAACCTCCAAGTTGGGATGGGAGTGAGAAAAGATGATGATAATCTCGTTAAGTTTCTGTTTACCTGAAGATTTAGAAATGCTAAGTCCATTCTGTACACTCAGTATCACCTTGATTTCCCAACACCACACCCCTTGTATTTATAAACCAGATTTCTAGCTCATTTCAGTTCTGTTCACAAATATTAACCCCTTAATATATGCTATGGCCCTAAGATGACTAAAGTGAATAGAATGTACTTTCTGCTCCTAGGAATTCACAGACTCTAAGGGAAACAAGTCATGAAAATAAATAGAGCAAGCTGTTAAGTGCTATAGATACAGAGTGCACTGAACACCATCTATGACACTGGTTAGGAACAAAATTAGGTTTGTTTATTTTACTCTTTTACAAGTATCTCCTGAAAACAGGAGGAAGCTAGAGGTGGTGGTGGTGGTTGTGGTGAACAACTTGGAAGACCTAGTCTTAGCCTTATTTAAATTAGGTTTTTCCAATGCTCCTTTTCAAGAAATACTGGAGAATGACCATAAAGTTCTAAAGTCCCAAAGAAGATGGGGTGGAGGATAAACTGAGTAGGAAAAAATACCCCTTTCCTACTGCAGCAGTTCATGCTGTTAATCACACCCTTCTTGGATTCTATTCCACTCTCAACTTTTCTCCCACCTCATTAAATCAAAAATATACAAAATATCTACTAATGATTTGACAATCATCTTAGGCTCTGCTTCCTCTCATCCCTTAAATTGTTTCCTAGATTTGTATACAATGTTTCCCTCACTCTACTCTTTATCTAAACCATCTTTTTCATTCCTATGGCTTCAACTATCATCTATGTGAGTATGAATCCCGTATCTACAATTGCAGTTTTGTAGTCTTCCCTGAGCACCAAAACGTAAGTTGTTTACTGGAAACCTCAACCT